GGATTGTGAACACAAGGTTTGGAGAGCAATGTGCTCTTGATCTCGAACTAGGCGACACTCTGATGAAAAAAACAAACATGGGGGTACACCGATGGGTAGCTAACAACTTGGGAGAACACAAGATGACACTAACTTCTAAATCCTCAAATCTATCCGTTTTAAAAACACATAAATTAAATTCAAATAGTCGAGATCTCGGCTCGCCAAGACATCTCTAACGGGTATCGCGGGTTGTTTTCCTCGGGCCCTGAGGGATGTGGATAAATCAGATCTGGCAACACGGTGTAGGGTACACGACCAAACAACATGCTCGATATCGTGATAATAATGATTGCTGTCTGAGAGCCCAATTCGATAGAAGTGCGAGTCTAACGAGCAGTGATTGGACATAAGCCTTGATATAACGCGTATAAAGTCGCGGCTCATGTCCAACCCTTTGAACCATGGTTTGTTCGACACCTGTGGGAGAATAGAATGTAACCATCTTCCCAATTCACCATCATTCCATTTGTGTTGCCAACTGATGAGGACTTGCTGACGAGCAATGGAGAAAAATTCGTTGAAGGCGATTTGTCGCTCAAAAATATCGCCTTCCATAGCGCCCACCTTAGCCAACGAGTCCGCTTTCTCATTACCCGGAATTGAGCAATGAGATGGGACCCAAGCTAAGGTGATAGTATAGGAGCAGTTAGATAAAGGACTCAGTTTAGATCGTATTTCAGGCAGGAAATACGAGGAGTGCTTCATCGGCCTCATTGAACAAATAGCCTCCAATGAGCTATCCGTAAAAATGAAATAATAGTCAGAAGGTAGTGAGGTAATTCGTTCTACTGCGTAAAATATAACTGCGAGTTCCGCAACGTATACTGAGCATGGTTTCTGCAGTTTAAAAGAGGTGCTATGAAATTGATTAAATACACCAAATCCAGTGGAAGCATTTATGGTTGACCCATCTGTGAAAAATCTTTTATCGTTACTTACATGGTGGTACTTGATTGCAAAAATTGAGGGAACAACCATGGACCGATGGTGATCTGGTATTCCATGGATTTCTTGCATCATGGTCAGATCAAAATTTACAGAGGAACTATAGAAGGCTTGAAAGCAATCACGATTGGAGATTAATGAAGAAGGGCCAACCTCCAGCATCATGTACTCATAGTACAAACTCATGAATCTTGTTTGAGGATTTTGGTCGAGCAGCTTCTCAAAGTGTTCTATTACCAAAGGATTCAATACTTCACAACGGATGAGGAACCGGAAATACAGCTCAGCGAAACGATCTGTCAGTGGGAGAACACCCGCGAGTACTTCGAGGCTCATCGTATGCGTCGAGTGCATACAGCCAAGCGCGATTCGGAGGCAACGGTATTGAACCCGTTGTAGCTTCAGGATGTGTGTTTTTGCCGCGGATTGAAAGCAGAAGCTACCGTACTCTAGGACCGACAAGATGGTTGTTCGATACAACCTGATCAGATCTTCCGGGTGTGCTCCCCACCAAGTTGCAGTAATTGTACGAAGAAAATTGATTCTTTGTTGGCATTTTTGTTTCACATACGCAATATGTTTTCCCCACGTGCTTTTGGAATCGAACCAGACACCTAAATACTTGAAAGATATACTTTGAGTGATTGTTCTACCCTTTAGTTGAAGCTGTAACTGTGCAGGATGATGCTTCCTAGAAAAAACAACCAACTCAGTTTTCTCCGGAGAGAATTCGATACCCAGCTTCATAGCCCAAGTAGACAAATTGTCTAAGGTATCTTGCAATGGTCCTTGCAGGTCCGGTGCACTTGGCCCTATAACGGACACAACGCCGTCATCTGCAAGCTGCCTTAGCGAGCAATTTTCATCAAGACAACCATCAATGTCTTTTACATAAAAATTATAAAGAAGGGGGCTTAAACATGAGCCCTGGGGGAGACCCATGTAACTAATTCGTGAAGTTGTCGAGTTTCCATGAGAAAAGCTCATATATTTCTCAGACAACAAGTTGCTCAAATAGTTGTTCATAATTGGTGAAAGCCCACTATCGTGGAGTTTATCCGAAAGGACATCGATACAAACAGAATCAAAAGCCCCCTTAATATCCAAGAAAACTGAACCAATTTGCTGTTTTTGCGCATAGGCCAGTTGAATTTCAGTTGAAAGCAACGCAAGACAGTCGCTCGTTCCTTTGCCTCTTCGAAATCCAAATTGCGTATCTGAAAGTAAACCATTCGACTCGACCCATTGGTCTAGACGAAAATGAATCATTTTCTCCAACAATTTCCGTATACAGGACAGCATCGCGATGGGACGGTACGAGTTATAATCCGATGCGGGTTTACCGGGTTTTTGAATGGCGATAACTCTTACTTGCCTCCAGTCATCCGGAACAATGTTGTGCTCCAGAAATTGATTGAATAAGTTCAACAAGCGTCTCTTCGCGACGTCTGGGAGATTTTTAAGCAAGTTGAACTTGATTCTATCCATTCCTGGAGCTGAGTTGTTACATGAGAGGAGAGCAAGTGAGAATTCCACCATCGAAAACGGGGAATCTCTTTCGTTACTACCCGACGGACGATCACGAACGTTGGTTTGAACCGACACCGAATCCGGGCAAACTTTCCGCGCGAAGCTGAATATCCAACTGTCTGAGTACTCCTTGTCTTCGTTGACCGGTGATGACGCGTTTCGCATTCTCCTGCCGACATTCCAGAGCGTTCTCATGGAAGTCTCGCGCGACAAACCATCGACGAACCGACGCCAGTAACCGCGTTTTTTTGGCTTTAATCAAGCCCTTAAAAGTGTTCTCGAGGTCGGTGTACCGCTCGAAATCCTCGACCTTACCGTGTTTGCGGAAGCGTTTAAACGCGGCGGACTTCTCGCTGTTCGCGTCGGTGCAATCCTTATCCCACCACGGAGTGAGAGTTTGTTTGCGAACGAAAACACCCGGAACGCGTTTCGTCTGTGCTTGAAGAGCACAGTCAACGATAAGTCGCGATAAAAAGGAGTACTCATCCAGCGGAGGGAGTATCTCAACCGAATCAGTACCACCGAGAACCGCGGACGCAAATTTTTGCCAGTCGATGTTTTTCGTGAGGTCGTACGCGATGTCAACCGAGCGAGTGGAAGATGAACCATTGGTAATAGAAATTTTGATTGGCAAGTGGTCACTACCGTAGGGATCTTGAATTACTTTCCACGAGCAATCCAACGATAGTGAACTCGAACTGAGGGAGAGGTCTAATCTACTTTCTCTTGCTGGAGGTTTGGCCACTCGTGTTACTTCCCCAGTGTTTAGAATTGTCATATTGAAGTTATCGCAAAGGTCGTATATCAGGGTTGAGCGGTTGTCGTCGTACAGTTCCCCCCAGCCTGTACCGTGGGAGTTAAAATCTCCTAAGATCAACCGAGGCTCAGATAAAGCTGAGCAGATATCAGAGAAACCTTGGCGAGAAATCGCAGTTCTTGGAGGAAGATATACTGAGGCAATACTGAGGCTTTTACCTCGAATATTTACCTGACATGCGACAACTTCAATGCCTGTCACGGAAGGCAGATCGATTCTATAAAAGGAATGGAGCTTATTAATCCCGAGAAGCACCCCTCCATACGAATCTGCTCGATCAAGGCGAATAATGTTAATATCAGTGATATCGATTTGTAAATTCAATTCTTATGTAGATTAATATCAATAAATGTTGTAAACTATATCTGTAAAATTCATAATTGTATTTGTGATCTTTCGTAAAGAAAACAGCAAGCATCCTGATTGACTTTGTTTTTAAATATATTTTTTAGAAATATCGAAATATGAATTCAACCGAAATTAAAAATTAGCATATCAAAATATGTTATCAACATGATTTCAAAAACATAATTTGATATCATTTTGATAGTATTTTGATATTCGGCTTTGCTCGGGTAGAGTATCCTATTTAGAAATATATCTGAAAAATTCAAATTTGGCCAACGCCCACCAAGCTTCTGTTAAGAGCTTTTAATTAGTATTAGAAAAACTCAATACCTTTGACCAAGTTGTCTGAATTCCTGCGACTACCTAAGGACAGCTCACGATCCATAGATTTAGAAACGCTGCTGTAGAACAACCCCTACCGGGAAGATGTCTCTTGTAATGAAACATGTTCAATTAGCTTTATTAAGTCGATGCTCATTTTTTACGACCGATTTCCATGTTACAGGTTTTGAAAATCGTCTATGAGTTCAGCTTAAATGACTTACTTGATCAACAACGGCTGGGATAATTTTCTAAACTACCGAATCATATCCAAACAAGGCGTCTTTGCGGATCATTAACGTTAACGCTGATTTTGCACCTGATTAGACTCCTGCGCTAAATATGCGTGCATAGTATTATTTTCGCACTGGAAAGATTCTTAAAGTTTTCTAGAGCTCGAATGCATTAGTGTAACTTTCCAGTACCGTTCTAAACTTGCAGCTGCTTTCAAATAAGTCGATTTTTAAATTTTCTGGCCTTTCACAAATATTACTGTGCAATTATTGTTCCCACAGTAGTCGAAAATGCGTGATACATGTATGTTTAAATGTGCCTTTTTCTCGGAAATGGTTGGCCAAATTAATTTCCTCTTCTATCATCAAACAACAACTCGAACCAAATACCTATCATCATCATCATATCAATCCTTCTGAAGTATCATTCCACTGCTACAGAACGCAACAAAGAAAACTCAATTTCATTCAATGGATCTAAGTCGTCCTCACTCGTAAGGAGACGAGTAATGGCCTAAACACTTGAACAAAACAATTTTTCCAAACTCCAATAAAAATCCTAGCCCAAATTTACGATCCAGGGGAGCACAGTCGCATCTGTGAACGAAATCTTTCGCTTTGATTCATTTGAACTCATTCCGCCATACCACCCCAACGCAACGAGAGTGGATCTGAGAAAAGTATCAAGGTCTCGCAATTAATCACACCATTGTTATTCCTGATCACGTAACTCGTGACGAGCTGTGATCCAACTGTTTACCTACCTTTCCACGGATGGAAGTCCACGGGTTTCCTGGCCCGTTTCTAGTTAGTTGGACTGTCTCGGTGGGTGGACCAAGCGCTTCAACGTCTTGCACCACTGTTAGATAATCCTTGCTTCGTCATCCCGGTTTGTTCCAGCTCCCAAAGGCAACCCAACATTCACCACTAGCACTTATTGCACTTTTGCCTTTTACATCTATCCAAAACAACGCACTCACACAAACCTAGCAACTCCCGTCGAGGAGAAGCAGCAATAGGGAGGTGGGTTGGGCGAATGTTACACAATTTATCTGCCCAATTGATTACTCTTTTTATCGGCTAGCTTTCTACCTTTTCTTTTTGTAAACGTACCCTTTTTTTTAGTATCACCTGCCAAAAAAACTAGATCCTTTTTTATGCGACTCCCCCATTCACTTTCTGATTAACGCAGACATCCTGCCTTTTCTAGGGCCAATCTATGTGCCTAAGGGAAATTCGAAACGCTTCTTCTCGGCCTGCCTGCGCCTCTATAAATAGCACTTGAACGCTGTTGCACTGTTGCACTGGTTTTCATAAACAGTAGCTTCTCCGTTGGTTCCTGTTGCAGCATTGGCAACGACGACGATGACGACGCTCGGTGCCTGAATCACCATCGCACCACCACCCAATCACAGGAAAAACTGAGGCTAGCCAACCAAGCACACGTGGGAAGGCATGTGGAGTGGAAGCTGGGTGTTTCTGTGGGTCCTGACACCAAACTCACTCTCCGCCTTACGCGACCAATGTACGCACACTCACGGACCCACTCTCGCACACACGGCTTGTTCGGCACACGGAACGGACAGGAGACCTGTAAATGCTTCTTCCTTCTGTAACCAGTTAGGTAGGCAGCGCCAGGTGCTGTGCAGAGACTCTATGTAGAACAACCGGGGACGGTTGACCAAACAGCCAACGCTCGGGATGGTCCAAACTCGACTGAATCCATGTCACGGCGAATCCTTGTCGGGATGTTTGGAATGCGATTGTTTGCAGAGCGCGGATAGAGAGCGGGAGAAAAATTCCTAAAGCAGAGCAGATTTTACATGAACAGAGCGACAGATAACGTAGGAAGGAGGAAGGAAGTGAGGGAAGCTTCCTTGGCTCGGTGTTTGAATGCAAGATGCTTGAGACGGATGTGGGCGAACGAAAACGTATTCCCCACAGTTGAAACAGAAGTCGCACTGTGGGTTGCGTGTTCTACCTAATGGCTGGTTATGTATGCTTAATGTCTACCTAACCTGAACAAACAATTAAATGGTTGTATGTTTAGGACATTTTGTAAATATGGGAAATTAAAAATACCTAGGATTGAAATTCTGATGCAATTTGATTCATTTGGATCATTTCAAGGTCAAATAATTGTTTCCTACGATTAAACATTTTGTGCAACAGATTGGTCATTTCAACCATGCAAAACAATTATTCAAAAAGTCGTCTTTTTTTCAATAAATCATAACTCGAAAACGCCACTTTCAATCAAAATGATGTCTGAGTCAAAGCTGTAAGAAATAATAATTCCTTTAAATCGTATAGGAGTATTAAGCGTATTAAACTTGGAAACTTCAAAAAATATAACTAAAAAACAAAAAAAAAAACATCGCTGATTTTTTTAATGATTCATGGAAAAAATTAATCTTGTTTTCCGTGCTGAGCACCAACCTATCGACCCATCAACTTATGATCCGGGGACCAACGGCTTTACTCGAAGGAAGGGTTAATCAGAGATTGTATACGTCATAATATCCCGGTGGCGCCGACTGGGATTGAACACAGAACTGCTGAGGTGAGAAGCAATCACGCTTACCACTACACCACCGGTGCCGCTAGTCTAAGAACCATGAAAACCTTGAAAAAAAAATCAATGTTTTCAATACAGATTTCCAATTTTTTAATATCATTATATTATCACTAAAAAGTATTTTTAACAACCTTTCATTTGATATTTTGATCTTTGAAATCGGCCAGTGGTTCAAAAGTTATAAACTAAAAAAAGACACCCTAACTTGCAAACGGTCACCCTAATGACAAAATAAAAAAAATTCGGCAAAAAAAGAAGTGGATCTCGTGTAGAAAACCAGTTCTTCCTACTTTCACGAACAGTAGCGACGCATGGCGGTAGCGGGCAAACTTTTTACAAGGAAATATATATAATGTTTGTTAGTTTTACACAAACCAACTCGTATAATTTATGCGTCGACTTTTAAACAGAGATGCCAAGAATTATTTCCGAATATCACTACAACAAATCGGCCATACCGATAAGCGAAATATTCAGTACTATTGGGTAATACTTTCCTCCATCAAATTCGAAAGATGTGGATAAACAACACTCTGAAAATTTGACACATTATATCCGTGTAAAATTCTACAAACTTCAAATCATTTTCGCGACTTCTAATTCTTTATCAATATTTACCATTTTTTGCACAGGCTTTTGCTTTGGGATTATGAATTGAACTGGAGGGTGGAATATAAGAAATCCATCACTTTTTTTGCAAATAGATGCACAACGAGAGAATCCAAAAACGCTTTGTCTAAATTGCATGTCAGCGGCTGAAAACTTACCTCCACACGAACAAAGATGCGCGCTTATCGGACGTCAAACCTCAAACTTCAAACTTAAAACTTTCCGTTGTTTTTATCGTGTGGGGTGCACTTATCGATTGCAGTAGCAGGGCTGAAAAAAATCACTAAAATTCATCAATGTTCACTATGGATGAAACATTCATTTCATAGTGACTGCTAGTGATATTTTCAACCCTGATTATAACACCATTATCCATACTCCAATCCATCATTTCCGCAAATCTTAACTTTCTGTTGGCACCACATTGCTTACATAACAATCATTTGAATACATTTTGGTTATTGATGACGTGTATGGGAATATCGATTTTTTCATCAGAACACTAGTTTTTAAGAATATAATGAACAATGTTTAAACAGTCTAAATGCAGCCATTCCATAGCCAAACGATAAAGTGGTTCTCAGAATTTCCTAAAAATCAGTAGTTTTGTTCCTTATTGCAAAATATTAGACCTGTATTTTTATTTTGTCATTAGGGTGATCATTTCCATGTTAGGGTGGTCCAAAAAATCATATTTTTTCAAAAATGACTTCGTGATCATGTTACAGTCGCTATAAATCATTGGAGACGCATGATGGACTAGTCGCATAGGAGTATCGAGCGAAAACCCAAAACTTAATAACTTCAGAAAAATATAACTCAAAATCGAATAATTTGCAATAAAGAACAGAAGTACCAATTTTTACGAAATTCTGAGAACCACTATATCGTTTTGCTATGGAATGCACCGCCACTTATCTTACAATTCATCCGAGATAGGTTCGTCCCAGTCGGTACCGGATCTCCAGATCTGCTGCATTAAGATTTTCCCGTGCACGACGAAATGCGAAACCAGTCCCAGTGGGTCAAATAACGACATCACAGTGCGCAGAACCTGCCGTTTGGTTGGGACCGTTGAGCCGATGATCAACGTTTTGATCTCTTCCTTGAGACTGCTCATATCAAAGGTGAAGACGTCCTCTTTTGGCCTCCAGACCAGACCCAGTATACGCTCTGAGTCTGTCGATTTATCCAAGTTCATGGATACTTCCTGTGGTGTTCCGCATTCCCCGATGCTTGCCAGCACTTCGGCCGAATTGGAGCAGAAGTTTCGGATTTCAAACCCCGCTTGAGAGTGGATGTGTTTCACCTCGTTGATCAACGTCACGGCTTCCTCTTCCGTGTCCACGCTATCCAAGAAATCTTCAACGTAGTGGTTATCCGTTATTGCATTCGCCGCCCTGGGAAATGTCTCGGCGAATTCCTTCGCGTTCACGTTCTTCACGAATTGTGCCAGACTAGGCGAGCAGGTCGCACCGAAAGTGGCGACATCCATTACGTAGATTTGTGGACTCGATCCTGGTTCGAGGCAGAATAGGAAACGCTGTGATTGTTTGTCTTCGTCCCGGATGCGGAGCTGGTGAAACATCTCCTTTATGTCGCCGACGATAGCAATGTCCCTCTGCCTGAAACGCAACAGTACTACTACCAGCGCCACCAAAAGATCCGGACCCTTCATCAACATATCGTTGAAAGACACTCCTCCAGCTCGAGCCTTGGCATCCCAGATCAGCCGTAACTTGGCCGGTTTCTTCGGGTTCTGCACAATACCCAGAGGTAGATACCAGACCTTGCTGGGATCCGTAGACTGCAGCTCGTCTGTCGTGATACGATGTGCATACCCTTTCGCTTCATACTCTGTAATCTGCTCCCTCACCTTCGCTTCGAGGATTGGGTCCTTTCGCAATCGCTTGTCCAGTGCGTTCAGCCGACTTAGCGCCATTGGGTAGCTATCAGGAAAGCAGATGTGATCGTACTTCCATAAAAGTCCCGTCTCGAAAGCGCCATTCACCCTTCGGGTTGTAGCTTCCATTATCTTCCGCGCTCGCTTATCTTCTTCAGCTTCCGGTTTTATGGTGACGCTGGACTCTTTGACTGCTAAGAATTGCTTCATCCACAGATGTAGTTCACGATTATCGGGATCACCATCAGGTGCAGATTCAATTGTTCCAGCACGGAATCATTGCCGGAGTTCTTTCCGAAAATGCACCATCCGAGGCGCGTCTTCGTCGCCACAGGTTCGTTGTCTTTACCTTCTCTTACTCGCAACGAAGTTAGAAGTCGAACGTGTTCTAGTCCGATAATGCGTAGCTTCCGTATAGCTGCGAACTGGCAGACCCTTCAGGTGCGGGTAGGTCTGCTGCAACTCTTCATACTGCATTGTTTGACTTGGAAGTTGTAGCTCTTGCACTGTCCGAACGTTGCTGAGTTTGAACTTCTCTCTAACGCCAGAAATAACCACGGTCACACGTTGAGATCCTTTCTCCTCCCTCGAAATATTTCCGATCCAACTCAAACAAAAGTTGTCGGTTGGCCCCGTGATACCCAGCACCGATGCAATACTGGATTCAAGGAGGGTAGACGACGAACCATCATCCAGAAAAGCATAGGTGTTGATTTGCTGACCGTTACCATGGATAGTCACGGGTAAATATCGAAACAAAGAGTATGCAACCGAAGAGTGGAGATTTTGGTGCACAACGTTATTCGTAGACCGCGACGAGCTTCCTGCTTCCACTCTGTTTTGCGAGGGATTCCTAGTTGAATGCAGTAGCTTGTGATGATGAACTCTGCATCCATCGACGCCGCACTCCTTGTTGGAACGGCAGGGCCACTTCCGATGTGGTATGAGACAGCTTCTGCACAAATTCTTTTGTTTGATCGCCTTCCATCTCTCATCCAGATCGAGTCCCTTAAACTGTACGCAGTTCACGATTTCATGATTCGCACAGGCACAGTACGTGCAGGTCTTCTTCATCGACTCCACTGACGGCTTCTTGTCGTAGTCCACTGCTTGTCCAGTTTTCGTTTCCTCGGAGTGTACGTACAGCTTCGGTTTTCCCTTCCCCGGTTTGATGGATCTCGCGTTCATGGTGAGAGCGTCTATTGGAAGCGTAACGTCCGAAGCCATCACCACTAGTTCGGACATGAAAGCGCTGAAGGTCGCGCATCTGCTCTTGTAATAGGACCACTGCATTTTGAGCTGAGATGGCAGTTTCTCTATTAGCTCATGAAGCAGTGTCGGATTCCACAGATGGTCATGAAGATTGGCGATAGACATATGGTCCACAACGTTTTGCACCACGAGACCGAAGGTTATCTGTGACTGCAAGTTATCGGTCTTCGGAGAGGGAACTGAACGCAATTTTTGGAGGAGAGAATGTATCAGAATTTCCGGTCGACCATACAACCTCCGTAATATATCAACTACAGAGGGCACCGACTGTGGCATCAGCAATCGGCTTTTAACTGCTTCCAATGCATTCCCCTTCAAACAGCGCTGCAATCGCGCCAAGTTTTCGGAGTCAGTGTACCCGCATGTTTCCGTAGAGTTACAAAACGAGCTATAGAACAGCGGCCAATCTTGAGGATCTCCTGAAAAGTTCGGCAACTCTCGTGGCATCACCTGTCTCGCTGCCAGTTGTCCACTAGATGGCCCACTTCTAGCTGGATCGACAGGATGCTGATGTTGTGGATGTTGCGGTTGAGATGGTGGTTGTTGGCTAAACCAGGGAATGCGGGAATCTCTTGAGCCCGCCGCTGATTGCGTCACCGGAATCTCGAACTGAAGTGGATCAACGATGTATGCAGGTGGCACCGTCCCATTAGAAGTTACTGGGGCCCCCTCATTGTTGACAAACATTCTTTCACGCTGCGATGGAACTGGGATGTGACTTACATTTCCCGATTGTATCCCACCGACATCCGTACTGACCAGATTGTTATTAATCCACGTTGATTGACAACCGGAACTTAACACTGGTCGGGAGTGTACCAGTGGTACTGATGATACGGGATTCTGGGATGACCCTTGACCCCCGGTGACTAATGGATTAGTACCAACGTTTTGAAAGGCGACGCTACGACTATAGTTTTGTGCCGGAATGCTTGTAGCGCACGGTTGACTCTGCCCTGAAACTGCGGTCGGAAATGCGGAATTGTAGCTAACAATTGGCGTACACCCATAGTTTATGGAAGAGACTTGTGGTACGCTTGTAATTACTATGCTATCCTGCAATATTGGCCTACTACTTGAGGGAAATGTGACGGCATAATCACCACATCCCGATGCCCTACTCCCACTAATTGGTACTTTATTAACTCGTGGGTAATGACTACTGGACATAGGGTGAATTTCTATATTCGGAGGCGGAGCACTACTGTTGACTTTCCGCGGACCATCCATCGTAGCTGAAGTGTCGATCCCGACAGTAGAATTGCATCTCGTAAGCAAGAAGGAACTTACCAGAGGCCGTTGGGGAACGTCGAATGTGATTTCGGTGCGTGATACGAAGCTGCCGTCTGACTTCACTGGAATCGGAATTTGAGGTACCATCGTTGCCAATGAACGCTTCACGCTTCTGGAACCATCCACTGAATTTGGCGTGGAAGTTGACGCTGGATCCGAAGTTACTATGGCGGGAACGTTTGACGTGATCGGATTTGATCTGATGGAAGCTGGAATTGTAGACTGTTGAACTGCTTCTGTGGCTACGACCGTTGACTTCATGCTACTGGGGGGCACTACTGTCACTTGCTGTGCTGTGCTGCCTTCCTGTCTGCTAAGCCACGACCGAACCTTCTCTCGACTAGTTCGACTGCTCAGTCTTGTTTTCCTACTGGCTCCTTCTTCCGCATCATCCGCTTCGGTCATGAGCAGATCGTACTTCTGCCTCAAAAACCGCAACGCTTTCTGCTCTTCAATCATCTGCAGGCTTAGCTCTACTCGGGTCGAGCGTTTATTCATAGACGAGCGACTGACGGACGTCCTCGAATAGTAAACAACATCATCTTCCAGCGATCGGCATCGATCACACTTCCAAGTGCGATCCGGATCGGCGATGGAGTCCGTAACACCCGCGCAGTTGAAGTGCACCCACGTCTCACACATATCGCATCCAACGAGATGGTTTGCTGTGTCCAGCCGATCGCATTTGGCACAGTGTTTTGCATTACTGTCGCTCATTTTTCGGTTCGACTAGAACCTCCAGAAAATCTTTGAAGATTGTTCGGATAGATTTTCGGGCAGACGTAAACACGTTTTGATTGCAGCATAAGCAGCTTCAAAGCTGTAATTGTATATTTGTTTGAGTTTTAATGGAATTTAAATAAAGGTTTTCACTTACATTTTCGTGTTGTTCTTCCTGTTCAAACCCGAAACTCTATGTGAACGTGAATTATCGCTAGCAACAAATTGCCCTAGGTTTTATAAATTAATCAATATTTTTTTTTTGCCCTAGGTTTTACAAATTTCGCATGTTAGGATAAGTTTAATTAAGTACTTACTCTAAGGTTTGTAATATTAAGCAATTGGTATAACTCCAGCCGTACTAATAGTAGAACTAGTTATCTATAATAAATTTAGGGTTAGGATTTTCTTTGCGCCTAAATAGGCAATAAATGTATATAATTTTACCTAGGTTGATGATTTCATTAAATTCACTTGACAATAGCTCACAAAATCTAGATTTAGAAGCTTTAGGTAGGATTTACTTATTATTATATTCAATTTTATTGACCTTTAATTTACTCTCGAATTTACTCCACTTTCACGATCACATTGTTGTTTTTTGCTGTAAGTGACGTTTGAGTGACACGTCACCGGCTATGCTCTGTTTGACGTTTGCTGGTTGCCAGATCTTGGGTGGTACGGAACTCACCTCGCTACCAATGAGCCTGCCCTGTGGTATCGTAACAATATATCGTAACAGGCGTGATCAGAGATGTTATGCCTCAGAACATCCCGGCGGCGTCGACTGGGATTGAACCCAGGCCTGCTGGGGTGAGAGGTAATCACGCTTACCACTACACTACCGGCACCGCTATTAATTGAATGATTGTAATGATTCACCTTCAATCGAATGATATGAAAATTAACAGCACTGGTTAATGAACATTCACCCGAAGCCTCAGCCCACAGGCACGGAGTCATGTGATCATGCTCTTATGCTAATGGTCCAAAAGGAACACGTGAACCGCAAGTAACAATGAGCCGAAAACCTGCGTAGGCGTGCAGTCGTTTTCTCCCACTGCTACTCTCTTAAAGGGTCGCCTACTCCTGGCTGCAGGAGATGAACGTCCTTGATTCGTGAGAGCGTCCGGATGCGAACTGCTCTGAGCGCAATCAAACAAACTCTTCGGTTAACTTTTCCGGAGAGCAGAGAAAGCGGGAGGATATTTAGCAACTCAACAAACAAACTGCAACTAATATTTGAATAGATCGGGAGGGGGTCAGTGGAGGAGCTTCCGTTCACGAGTCACATGAGATGCAGGCGGCAGTGCCATGACGATTCAATCAACAAGTTAGAAACCTGATGATAATGGAATATTGGTGAGCATGCGTAGTGTGTGTGTGTGTGGGGGGGGGGGGGGGGTTTGGTTTGGCAGCTCCTTACGGCGAATGGTGAAACGAGACAAGACACTTACACGGATGATGAGATCGACTCAAAATTTAACGGAATTCGAATCTATTTAGTCGAAAATGGATTGTCTCACAAAATGAATAAATATTTCCGAACTATTACTCCTGGATTGAGACAAAATGTAATCGATTTTCCTCATATTCAAGAAGTTTTTCCTGGAAAATATCGAAACATTTTGCTCACTTTTGACAAAATTGAGTCGAATTCAATTCAATTTCTAGTCGTAAGTGTACACGGCCGCTGAATCTGACTCATATTTTTTTTTCCGTTTACTCAAATTCGCAAAAAGCAGGTCCCTCATAGTCTGAGTAAATTTTTACTCAAATAAGTGTAAATATAACTCATATGTGAGTAAATGTCACCCAAATGTTCGTGACATTTACTCAGATTTGACCACAACTTTACTCAGTCTATGAGCCTACATTTTTGCGAATTTGAATGAATGGAACTCAAATATGAGTTAGTTTCAACGGGCGTGTAGGAATGAGCTTTGGTGGTGGAATTTGGGTGCCAAAGCTTTGAGTCAACAAACAGCAAATTTTATACACATGGAGACGCATGGTCAATTGATTGTTTATGGAATGTTCTTTTGTCGTTCCTGTTGGGAAAACACGATGCTTCAAATATAGGAAATATTTAATTTAGGACTGATCATCTCTTGCGTTCATGCTACACAAATCTTATCACTCTACAAGAAAGGAATCAGAAGTTAAACTACCTCAAGTAACGTTGATCAACATCTCCATATAATATATTAACGTAATAATATAAGTTGATTCATGATTCTGGTTCTTGCTTTTTATTGTTTTCGTTTCGCTTTAGCCATTCAAGCCACTCGACGTCTACACTTTCGGTCACTCAAGCACACACGCAGCCGGGACTCGTTCCTACACTTTCAATAATTAACCTAGTTTTTACTCTATGAAACTACGAAAGGACTTATAAATTAAGATTATTAATCTGCTGACTAGTGCTGCTTCTTTTGATATTTTATATTCTTCACAATAAGCATCGGTGCAAACTTACACCGACTGATGTCCATCTTCGAGTTGAAAATTGATCAAATTCCAAGATGTTTGTTCCCAAATAAGCTACAGCTAATTTATGTACGTAAGTTAGTTGTAGGATGCCGGTGGCATTCGCCTATAGAGCCGTAGCGTTTCAGGATGGGATGGACGATTAATTCTGCTCAAAACAGAGTGACAATTTTGAAACCGATAGTATTTCTTGATGCGCATGCAGTAAAAGAAATCATCCGCACGTAAATGGAAACCAGCTTCCATTAGTGTAATAACAGTACACAGGAAAAAGAGAGCATTATGGCATTAGAATAAAACTACTGTATTTTAATTTAAAAAAAGTCGAATCACTACATAAGTAAAACTGAAAACTATCCTTACGAGTCACACCACATAGGAAGTTGGTAGTACTAGTAAATCGTCCAAAGGATAAATTCGTATGTATGTGGCTGAATACTTGTTGCACGATCAGTATAAGGGGGTATATTTGTAGCCCTTTGTTTTGTTTTTGGTTTATTGGTCCAGTAGAAGTTACTCACTGTCAGTGGTTTTACCTTCCACGGATGATAACCGGAGAAGTCGTAGTTTTTCGCTCCCGGGACTGACCCAGCCGTTTTCCTTCTTGCCTATCAGGTAGGATGGAACCTCCGAGAAGGCAGTCGTCGTTGACGTCAAATCCACCCCGAGCCGGCCAACGATCTTTTCCGCAATGTTAGTGCTGGTATTGCTGGTTTCGTTAGTACCTATACTATGGTTATCATTATCAGTGTCAACCGTACTGTTTGCATTACTACATTGGACATTACTTGTGGGTGATCCTAATGTAGGTCGTAGGTTGTTGTCACTGGACTCTTCTTCCTTCTCCTCCTCCTCCGCCTCCTCCTGCACATCCTCTTCCTCCTCGCCATCCTCGGTAATCGTGTTGGTGCTGCTGTTCTTGTTTTGACTGCACATGTTATTGTTATTGTTGGCAAATTTCTCTTTGGAACTCTGCGCCACATCAAGCCAATGGTTCTTGTTATCCTTGACACCGTCAACCAGAGGAACCAACGTGTCGGAAAGAGAGGCGAATGCCTGGAACGAAATGCCATAAAATCATACATAAAAAATACGGTTGGAGTTAGATGTTGACATCTGAATCAATCTTAGAGTTCACTTTAATCTGGAGCAAATTTGTATTCGTTGCAAGCCTCACGCACGATAAGTTCTCGACTAACAATAGAAAGGGCCTATGAGCTTTTGTAAACCAAATTATTAATGCACTTCCCGAAGGTACCGACGTTCGCCTACGCAAATCAACAACACTATTAGGATGGAGAAATTTCCTCTATCCGATGGAGTTGTTGGTTTGCATAAGGGTCATTCCAGATCAAGTATATATACTATATCTGCCATTCCATAGCAAACCGATGTATAGTAGTGTTACTCCTAATTGTAAAATATTTGATTCGTATTTTTATTTCGTCTACAGGGTAACCATTTCTATGTTAGGGTGATCCATAAAATCAATTTTCATCAAAAATGTACATGGGTTCATTTCATACAATACACTCGGGCGTATCGATGTGCACAAGTGTATTCGCAGATGTTTGCACACGGGTACATTGCACATGGGTTTGTGCACGGAACAAAATTATAAAATAACGAAAACAAAAACGCTGTAGATCGGGACTTGAATCATGAATTTTATAATCATCAGGCCTGAGTCTTGACCACTCGTCTATTTTAATGCGCGAGTAATGTTAAGGTTAAAGACATATAAGAAGTGCTCATAGTAGGTAAGGGAACTATTTATTCTGCCCTTTGTGCAAGCCGGCTCCCATATGAGCACAAGCATGACTTTGCACTCGAGTACAAACGTGTGTTCAAATGGGCTTGTACACATTCGAACATAGCAAGCGGAGAACAAGTGAGTGCATAACATTCGTGTACTTTAAAACACATGTTGTACCGTGAAGACTTTTTTCCCTTGATTTGTTTTTCCTCGATCTTGTTTTCCGTGCTGACCACCAATGCTACCGACGCCAGGGAAACAGCTCCCACACCTGGACCCTACCTATCGACCCATCAACTCATGAACCGGGGACCAACAGCTTTTACTTCCCTTTCGAAGGAAGGCGTGATCAGAGATGTTATGCCTCAGAACATCCCAGCGGCGCCGACTGGTATTGAACCCAGGCCTACTGGGGTGAGAGGTAATCACGTTTACCCCTACACCACCGGCGCTGCTACCGTGAAGACTGAAATTGACTTATATAAAAAAAAAATAGCTTTTGAACCGATTTCCAAGATCAAAATAGAAGAGCAATAGTTTGTATCGAGTAACTCGATTTGCTAACATTTGCTACGTAGGACTTTTTGAAAAGTTACGCGAAAATTATATATTGGCGTTGACGGCACCGTCGAAAAATCGCCTCTTCTAGCAAAGATAGACAGTTTCGTATGGGAACTTTCGGTGGAGTGAAAGGATAGTACAAAGCCCGCCATGTTTTACGTACAGTCTGACGATTGCTTATGAATCTTACCATAGGAGTAAAGACCGATAGAGTCACCGTCAACGCCAATTGCTTGTCTTCTTTGTTCATGGGGCAACAATTAAGAATTTCATCGTAGCTCACATCAATGTTGCTCTGCGATGCAAGTGTGAAGGAGTAAGATGTTTTGTTCTGTCATAACTCGGTCAGTTGTATCGCTGTCAGTTTTAGCGTTGCCAGATTGTTTTCATCATTATCGGTATCGAATGATTAAAAAATCGGTGTTTATTGGTATTCACTATTTTAATTACTTTTAATTTTTTCTTTAAAACTTTTGGACTAAAATCGAAGGATGTACTTTCCATGTAAGTCGGAAGAAATTTCTGGGAAATATTTGAATTAGTCTCTTAATGGTACCGACAAAATTCCAGAGGAAAAATAAAGAAGATCTCGTGGAGGAAGTTTGAAGGAAGTTCTAAAAGATGTCGAAAAAACATCTGATGGGGATCTTCCAAGACAAATATTGAGAATCTTCTGGTAATATTTTTTTTAAACTTTCGGAAAAAATCTAGGAGCCAGAAAGTTTGGAAATCGGAAGCCAAAGCCGGAGGCGCTATTTCCAGGGGAAGTTAGGAGAAGCTAAAAAACCCACAATAAGTCGGAAAAACCTACGGAGAGTGACTTATGGAGAAACTTCCAGAGGAAGACAAAAGAATCTTCTAGGGGAACTCGATAGATACATCCGGTAGAACTTTAATTGAACTTCCTGGAGAAGACGGAAGAAACTTCCAGGAGACACTGGGACATAAAGGGCGAACACGAATTTATTGCGACACATTCAACAGGGCATAACTTTTTTACCATTGGGTAAAAAACAACCAAATTTTGCACACTTTCTCATTGATGTGTATTGTGTACATACTGTCAAACTCGAAGTCGTGTTTTTCAATTCAACGAAAATGGAGGTGAACCAACGCGAGTTGAGAGAACAAATTCTTTCCAAACACCTGGAATTTCCTGACCTGTCGCACCGGCAGTTGGGAAAAATGTTGAACGTTGGACCACGGCAAAGGAGCTGGAAGAAAACCGGGACCGGAAAACAAAAAGACGGAGGGAAAGGTGAAGCGGATGATTAAAGCAAATCCCAACGTCTCAAGCCGTGATTTGGCTAAAAAGATCGGCATGTCGCAGAGCTACGTCCAGAATGCAAAGAAGAGAGCTGGACTAAAGGGTGATACGGTCAAAATTTGGTCAAGGGAAAACGCGTGTAAATCGGTGAAATCGTTTATTTAAAAAATCAAATTAAATTTCTTTTTCAAGTTCAATTAGTATAAAATTCAGGAAAAATATTCAGTTAGGCTTCCGCTTTTCCAAATCCGAATTGCCGGGCCTTACGCTTGACCCCTGCCATCAGATTTTGTACAGCCACCTTTTCCACCTTCTTCGCCGCAGAAAGCCAGTTTGCCTTGAACTGCTGCTCGCTCTTAGCAGTTTTTTTTTTAATCTTCTTTAGGTTCCGCTTGACAATAGCCCAGTATTTCTCAATTGGGCGGAGCTCTGGCGTGTTGGGAGGGTTCTTGTCCTTGGGAACCACCTGCACGTTGTTGGCGGCGTACCACTCCATGGCCTTTTTACCGTAATGGCAAGATGCCAAATCCGGCCAAAACAGTACGGAACAACCGTGTTTCTTCAGGAAAGGCAGCAGACGTTTATTCAAACACTCTTTCACGTAAATTTCTTGGTTGACAGTCCCGGAAGATATGAAAATGCTGCTTTTCAAGCCACAGGTACAGATGGCTTGCCAAACCAGATATTTCTTTGCGAACTTTGACAGTTTCATGTGCTTGAAAACATCTGCTACCTTTCCCCTTCCTTTTGCCTGTCCCGGAAGCTGCTTGTAGTCGGCTTTGACGTAGGTTTCGTCGTCCATTACCACGCAGTCAAACTTCGTCAGCATCGTCGTGTACAGCCTCCGGGATCGCGCTTTGGCCGTCGTATTTTGTTTATCATCGCGATTTGGAGTCACTACCTTCTTGTAAGTCGATAGTCCGGCTCGTTTTTTGGCTCGATGCACGGTTGTAGACGATACACCCAGCTTATTTGCGGCATCTCTGAGAGAGAAGTTAGGGTTTCGCTTGAAACTACCGGCAACTCTCTTTGTCGTCTCAGCGGCTTCCGGTTTTCAATTTGCCCTCGATCCAGACTTCCTGGCTGTCGAAAAACGCTCCCCAAACACTTTAATTACATTTGTAACGGTTGATTTGGCAACTTTTAGCGATTTTGCCAACTTTGCGTGCGAGTAGCTCGGATTTTCGCGATGCGCGAGCAAAATTTTGATACGCTGCTCTTCTTGCTTGGACGGCATTTTGACAACTGAAGAGTGAATTCCAAAATCAAAATAGGAGCAACATTCTACACACACACACCTTCAAAATGAGGGGTGTTCAGGTTTTTTAAATGCAAAATTGAAAGAAATACGTCAAGTTGATATTGACCAAATTTTGACCGTATCACCCTTTACATACATACAAGGTACAGAACTTCCCAAACCGCGATGAGCGGCAACAATCGACGGCTAAAACTCGGGCACGGAAGCTCTACGAGAAGATGCTGACAAAATATGGCTGCTGTGTGATGGACGACGAAACGTATATAAAAGCCGATTTTAAGCAAATTCCGGGGTTGGAGTTTTTCACCGGCAAGAGCAAGTTCGATGTGGACGACAAATTTAAGAAGAAGAAAATGTCGAAGTTCGCCTCCAAATATCTCATTTGGCAGGCCATCTGCTCTTGCGGACTGAGGAGTGAGCCTTTCGTGACAAAGGGCACAGTAAATGGCGAGATCTACAAATCTGAGTGCCTCGAGAAGCGCCTTTTGCCGTTCTTGCAGCAGCAGCTCCGCTATTTTGGCCAGATTTGGCATCATGCCACTATTCTAAAAGTGTCCTGGAGTGGTATGAGGCCAATTATGTCCATTTTGTTCCAAAGGACATGAATCCGCCAAACTGTCCGGAGCTGCGCTCGGTGGAGCAGTACTGGGCAATAATGAAGCGGGAACTTCGGAAGAGCAAGAAGGCAGTCAAAGACGAGAAGGACATGTTAAGAAAATGGAAAAAAAAAACTGAGAAACTGGTACCGGATGACACTGTAAAGACTTTGATGGAGGGCATCAAGTGAAAATGCGTTCAATTTTACACTCAAGGCTCCATCGATTAACTTTTCTTTTAATTTTTGAAGTAAATATATGTATAAAACTACCCTAAAATTTTGGTTTGATTCTAAACATTATAAGAAAATTGGCATGACATTTTCGGTGTCGCAATAATTTCGTGTTCGCCCTTTACTTCCTACGGTAGATTGGAAGACACTTCTGGAAAAATTCGGACGCCAGAGGGCTTACGTAACAGTCGAAAGATACTTCAAAGAGAAGATGGGATAATATCTGGACGAAATAGATTCCTGAGTTCGCTGAACTTCCGATTTTTTATTTTTTTTAAAGTTCTCGAAACTGCCGATAGAAAATACAGAGCTTCCACAATTCTCACACTTTTCTAATGTTCATGTAACTTCCCTTACGTTCAAAAATTTACGTTTTTATGGG